TTTGATTCCGTTCGTCATGTTCAAGTATGGACATCTGCTCCGCGCGAGGAGTAAGTTGGCGAAGGAGTACTAGTGGAGGAGAGAGTTGTTCAGTCGTTCATAGCGCATTAGCGTAGCATACCCATCAACACGTCGTTGTAATCTATTGTACACAGAATCTTAATCTCATGTTAACCTAAGAAAAACCTGAACAGGTCTGCAGCCTACAATAACATGAAAACGTGCAAAGTACATGATCTAACGCCGACGTGGGCTCTAGACTTGTTCAGCATTTTCTTCGTATGAGATGATTGCAGGTTCCTACCTGATGATTTCGCATGCCGTCCAGGGTTGATGATGACGACAGACGCACGTGGGTGGCTTCCTGGTGTTTCAGCCGTAAGCGAAACAACAGGCAACAGCGATGTGGCCTTCTACCCCCCGTAAGATTTCACACACGACCACATCTCTGCAACATGCATTCATCCCGATCGCGTCTTCTTGCTCATTGTTCCCTTAGCTACAGAAGCGAACGCTCCGAGAAGAGCGAGACAATCGCAGATAGCGCTCGGCCCATACTCGAATACTGGCAGGTCGCAACCCATTCTTTTCCGAGAACACATCCTATGTCACCTTCGAAACATGCCACAAAGACGAGGTCTTCCGGTTGCGACAATGAAGTCTGTCAATTTGAGTTCATTTTGCAAAAACTGCCAGAACTTGGAGATTGAGCGTCTGTTTGGCGTTACCGATGCAAAGAATACCGGAAATACTGACCACATCATCAAGAATAACATCTTCCCCATGGTACTGGGAGAATGCGGGCTATGCGACTTCTTCATGGAATGTTTACCGGAACGGTGCAAAGTACGCAATGCAGATGGCACGTGGTTCATCTCTATGAACACTACGTGTGCCTCTCACATGAGAGAACCTGCAAAAGTAGCAATCTGGTGCTACCCGCCAATGAAAGAAAAGGAAACTTTGGGAACTCTGTGGATGGTCATAAGTTCTATGGAGATTTCAAGAGGTGAATCTGTTGAAGTCTCTCCAATTGTCTGCATGGATAACGCAAGATTGTCGACTCATGAGCTCCAAGCATCATCCTCGAGGTTCAATTCCGCACCAATCTCTGAGTGGTTGAAGAGAGAAATACACACGGAACAAGCTCGGTGGTATGGGGGAGGGACTGGCGCAAGCCTGGCCCTCACCGTCATCGACTGCAATACGCGCAAACTTGTTCAATTACCCAACGAAGAGCGTTACGCAACCCTGAGCTATGTCTGGGGCCCTTCTTCACTGTCTTCACTAGATGAAATGAAAGGTGGTCGACTGCCGTTACATCTGCCAAATACGATACAAGACAGTATTGGCGTTTGCAACGAGCTGAACATTCGTTATCTTTGGGTTGACAGGTATTGCATAGCTCACAAAAATGAACATCTTCGAAGTCTGCAAATCAGTAGGATGGACGAAGTGTATCACAACTCGTTCCTTACAATCGTGGCTTCTGCAGGCAAAGATCCTCACTTTGGTCTGCCAGGGGTGTCTAGACAGCGCAATTCAAACCCAGGTATCGGAGTTTTTGGACTTGGACGTCTGCAATCACTATCAAATGCTTCTGAAATCCATTCCGATATCTGGGCGACACGAGCCTGGACGTATCAAGAAGCCCTCCTCTCGCAGCGGCGACTTTATTTCACAAACCAAGGGACATTTTTCGAATCAGTTGACGGTCTTCAAGAAGAGAGCGAGTCGGTTTCCAAAAGCCGCTTGGAGCAATTACTGCCGGAACGTTTGCGCAATGGAAGGTCTGTCCCAGGTGCTGTGCGCGACAGCAACAAGAGGCAATACGCAATCGGGGAACTTCACGTATGGACGTGCATTTCCGAGTACTCCAAACGAACCCTATCCCATCAGAGCGATATTCTTAATGCTTTACTCGGTATTTTGGCTTACTTTCGACGGCAAAAGGGTATTTGTCATCTTTGGGGCATGAGCTCGTGGCTAGGGGTAAATACAATCTGTGTCGCATTCTTCAAAGAATATATCAGGGGAGGAGCCTACATCATCTTAGAATCTGCGTAGTTGTCAAGTTATAGTAGCATGTATACTGCAAGCTGTGGCACGAACTTCACAAAGATGGACTTTTATTGTTGGCTAAAATCAAGTAATCCGAAACTCCCGCAGCAGAAATAGAGAATAGAAAGCATGTAACTTTTTGGGAAGACTCGATGTAACAAGAGATACTCAGGAGATGCCAGAACAGTGAGACCAATTGGTATTGGGTCAAATGTATTGCTTCTGTGCCATCGTTAGTCGGACGTCTTGGTTAAGGACGCATACATACAGCCTTCCATCCGGCCCAAAGATCCTGATGGGCATAGCTCTTGATGACTTCGCGAGCTTCCTTCAATATGCCGTAGTCTCCTACGCAATTAAGCTTTGCGGCCCGACAGCGGGCTGGTAGGAGACTGTCATAGTCGATTCCGGTGTTATTCAAGTAGGTCCAGTATGCCAAGACACTGAGATGCATCGAAGACAGATTGTCTGGAAGTGGATGAAGTTCTGCGGCGTCCAAGACTTTAGTCGTCAAGCCAAATTGGGTCAATGGGCAAAGCTTTGATCCACATTTGCCGACATCCTTTGTGAAAGTGTTATGCAAGGCGGTTTTGCATGTCTGTAGGAGCTCTCGAAGTACGGCGGTACGGATTTGACCGGCTTGAGCTATATGAAGGATTAGCTTCTATGAGATGGCAAAAGTAAGGCATCGTGCAAGGAAAAAAACGGAACAGACCTGCAGCCTACATCAAGATGAAAACATGCAAAGTAGATGATCCAACGTCAACGTAGGCGCCAGGGTGTTCAATTTCTTTTCTTGAATGATCTCGGCCTGTGTACTCACCTTGAATGCGGGCGGGGAAGTCAGCTCGGACATGCACCAACTTATCATCGTGCACCACGCAGTAACGCTTGTCTTTATCGACGGAGATCTCCATGACCAGCTTATTGATCAGGTATTCGTAGTCAGCCGTGAGCCCAAACGCGGCCGTAATCATCGTAAAGTCTTGAAGATCGATGTCGGAAGGCCAAGATATACCACCGTCTTTGTGCTGTTGGATCCAGTTCTTCAACTCGGCTGCAGCATGTAGGAGACGCTCGAGGTCGTACTTGTCGGACAAGACTGCAATTTGGACCAGCTCCTGCTGCGACAGCGTTGCAGGTAGTTCTTGAAGTTGCCAGTGAGCAATTCGGAGGACAATATGGAAGGCGTAGGCTGAATCCTCAGGAAAGGCGATCTCGGACATGTCGCTCTCAGCCCAATTGCCGCTCATCATGGCGTCCCAGGCCTTGCTAGCATGTCGAAAGACGCCTTTGTTGACTTGATAGGCTTTTTGACCACCAACGTGCTCCGGAGACCCTACGATCAGGGTCAGATCGTACTGCCTGTCGATCGTAACGATTTCGAGGTCAGGATCGGTAATTTTTCTCTTGTTCTGGAGGTCAAGTGGCTCATCATGGAACTCGAGTGACTCTCCATTGGAGTACCCACTACCGAAAATGGAGTCGTCGTTCGTAGCTGCAAGGGTGGGTTGAACATCTGATGTATCCTGTACGCTATCGCCAGGGCTGACAGCACTTGATGGTGTGGTCATGATGTAGATGGCCTGGAGACTCGTGATGGTCTTTGAGGGATGCTTTGTCGATACTGTATACTCGAAAGTATGAGATAGAGTTGATGGTAGAGTCCTGGAACGGATTACGTAGGCGGTAGGTATATATATATCACCGGTCGGACGACCAGCTGGCAACAGCCAAAGCTATCAGGCAGGTGAGAGAAGCTTGAATGATTCTATCTTCCCCAGAGTCGTCTGTTCGCCACCGGATCTGAGGTAATAACTTCACGTATCGTGGAAGTACCTTTACCGACTCCTTCGGGGATTGCGAGGTCATGTATACCTATTGACCTGGTATTGCGGTAGATTCCAGGACCTAGAAGCTTGAGTCGTCACCCACGTATCCCATGCCCTTCCTCCACCAACTCCAAACACCCATCTTCTGCATACTAACTCCGAAGTCTTTCACGCTCTCCACTTCTTCCAATTTTCCATACGCGACGTCATCTCCCGCCTCTTTCCCTTCGATCTCCTTTCCGGCAGGCTTCTTTACGAGTTGGAAATCCTTGTAACGGAGTCTCTGGACACTTGCTACCCATTCTCTTACACCTGTTTCGGGGCCTTGGCAATACATGATGCCTGGACAGCCACCATACCGTAGTAGAGCGTATATGTGACAGTTGGATGCGGCAGCTTTCAACTTGGCCACTTTCTTGCGGGAGGTTATGTGATGGGTTCGTATCAGCGCGTTATAGATCGGATGAGACATGCCATCGATAGGGGTATACCCAAAGCAGAAAATGGACGCCGTGTTCGCAATGTCATGGTTTGCGAACGATGCACAGGGTTGAACGCGGCCGCACGTGACGTCACTAGCGCAAAATGATTTTCCAAGATCGCCGAACGCCAATGACGTGCGGGCGAGACGTGAGCGATATTCTCGAACAACTTCAACAACGACCGTATGGATCGCTGCCGTATACGGAACTCTACGTATGGAAAGTTATGAAGCCTACTTTGCTTCATAGAGTCGCCGCCCCATCACCGTCGGTTCTGAGCTTCCTGAGGGCCCAAGTCACCAATGCATTCGACCGACCGCTGGCGCAATGCGCACAAGCAACCCAGCAACGACGCGGATATGGGACCAATCTTGGGATGAGATGGACTTCTGGAGATGCGACATGCAGGATAAACACACCAAGTTGCAAGAGGAGAGAGGGTAGTAGGACATTCTCAACTTCGCAATGTCTCCCAGCCAGGAGGGTTTCGCAACCAGTCCTCGAGACTTCGCTTGTAGTTTCACAGGCCACGGCTCTTTCAGTTAGAGACCTTGAGCCTCATGGCCACCGCAGTTTCTCTACAACGCCTTCGAACAATGGGTGGAATATCTTCAACTCAGCAAAGATGCGAAAACTGGCCCAACTGCAAGCACCGCAGCCGCCACCGGATGAACCTTCGTCAGGTTCAACGGGGTTCGGAAGCAGTCTGGGACGTATAATGCGACCTACGAACGAGCTCAAGATGCGGTGTACCGAACTTGACGAACACGGCAATGTCACACTTGTTAGCGGAGAGTTCAAGAAGAGCGAGCTGATCGCCAAGGTACGCATTGAAACGGACCTGCATAGAGTACATGACTGATAGTTGAGAATAGTACGGTCTGCTTCCTCGCGATCTCCGCAAAATCGATTCGTCGCTCCTCCCACACATTCTCGTCCGGCCGTCTGCGATCCTGATAAACCTCCTCAACCTTCGTGTCCTCCTCAAGCACAACCGTGTACTTGTCTTCGACGCCTACGGCACCACCGACTCAAAGTCGCAGTCTGTCTTTATGTACGACCTCGATCTCAAACTCCGCCAGAAAGAGTCCACAGTCAACGGCACCCTCGCCTACGAATTCCGAGCACTTGAAGCTGTCCTCATAAGCGTAACACTGAGTCTGGAAAAGGAGTTCGAAGGTGTCAGTGAGCCAGTCGTGCGAGTTCTCAGGGAGCTCGAGGAAGACATCGATAGGGACAAGCTACGGTACCTGCTCATCTACAGTAAGAAGCTGGGTAGTTTTGAACAAAAGGCACGACTAGTCAGGAATGCGCTCGAAGAATTGCTGGAAGCGGACGATGATCTCAGCGCCATGTACTTGACTGAGAAGGCTGAGGGCAAGACGCGCGAAGACGACGATCACACGGAAGTCGAGATGCTCCTGGAATCTTATCACAAGGTCGCCGACGAAATCGTTCAAGCAGCTGAGAACTTGGTGTCGAGCATCAGGAACACCGAGGAGATGTATGTGTTCTATTCTTCTTGTACAGTCTCCTGTCACTAACTCTCCACAGTGTCAAAGCCATCCTCGATGCCAACCGTAACTCCCTCATGCTTCTCGACCTCAAATTCTCGATCCTTACCCTCGCAATCACAGCCGGAACCTTCGTCGCCGCTCTATACGGTATGAACTTGAAGAACTTCATTGAAGAATCCGATCTTGGTTTCTTCGGCATAAGCGCCTGGTGTTCAGTCTTCGGCTTCTTCGTCGCTGTATACGGTCTGTCAAGGCTTCGAAAGGTACAACGGGTCAGCATGTATGGCCACGGACCTGGTGCGCTCGTTAGCAGGGAGCCAACCAGGCCGACTGTAGCTCCAGGCGGAGGATGGGGCCTAGGTGCGTGGGGTGGTGGCAGTAGAAACGGGGTCAGCCGAGGAGACATGGGCAGCACAATGCCGACCGGAGCACCGGATCTGGGAGGTATTACGAAGAGAGGTGACACTCTAGCCAGCGTTATGGAAAGAGAAAGAGCGTTGGCGAGAAAGTTGGCCAAGGTCGAGCAGAGGGCTGACGATGCTACGAGACGTTGAGGTTGGCTTCATGTGCTTGTGTGGAAGGTTCTTGCATTTCTTCGATCTGGTTTTGATCTCTGCTCTGATATCCCACCTCTTTCTTAGACACTTTTTGTATGAGTAACGCACAGGTTTGGCTGCATAGCGATGGCGTTTGGGACAGATGATAAGACGGGCACTCTTAGACGGGGTACTCATTTGCATCATCAATGTATAGTAGTGTATACGTCCATAACCCGCTCAGACCTATCCGATCTTCCAAGCAATCATAGTTGGTTTGCATCCATCCCTCGCGCTTTTCTTTCGTGAAGCCTAGCCTGTTGCCACTATGCGCCGATAGTCCTGTCCATGTCCTTGTCTCCACCGTATCCTTGCTCTCTCCGCTGTTTCGCCGCATTCTCATCATCGTCCTTCAACGCCTCAGTACCACCGAATCCACCTGCTCATGATTAGCCTGCCATGCACAACTACAACATCTGTTTGCCGTTGACGTACCTTCCGCGTTCGCTTGGCCCGTTGAACTTGTCGTCTTGCCACCCATACCGCCTTCTTGGATACTTTGTCCGTATCGAATCTTGTCTGCGGGGGTAATGCCTTGGGTGTTGGGCGCGCCGGGGTCGGAGGTTTTCTTGTTGACCGAGGTGCCTGTTGAGGGGTCTGTGGAAGCCATTGATTAGTAGTTGCACGTCGAGAGGGAGAGGGAGCAAGTCATACCGCCTAGTTGACCGGCTTCCTTCGCGTGAGGCTCAACGAATGTGTGAACGCCTTCGTACTGGTTCTGGCGCTCGCCGCCGGGCTCGGTGTCCATGAGTTTGTCTGACATGTTTGCACGTATGGAACTGTTCTTCGTGGGTATGGAAAGATTTATGTGCGGAAGACGTGTACAAGAATTTGAATTGTGTGAGATGGTAGTGGTATTGAAGCTCAGAAACTCGACGTATGGGGAAAGCTCCATGCTATGACGTAACCACCAAACGCCGAACCCGAGACGCGCTCTGCAGCGTCAGAACACCCTGGTATGATGACACATTATCTACTTTTCCTCCACGCCTGGACCGTATGTGTGTGAATGTGCGACTATGATGAATCGAAATCGATGCCCATGGCGTAGCTGCGACAGTTGTTAGTGTAGGCCTGACTTTCTGGAGTCCAGTACATACCTCTCGTACAATCTCATGTACTTTGCGACGAAAGCCTCCAAATGGAAGATCTGCTTGGCGCCCATCTTACACCTGTGCTCGTAGAACGCTGCCCACTTGATGACCTCAGGCTTCAGCGCATCTTCCGTCATTGGTATGAGTTTCCAGGTAAGCGTTTTTATGATGGTCGTGGAGTCGATGCAATGCGATAGCAGATCGTAGAGTGACGCGCGGACTTGCAGAAGGCGTTGAGGAGATCGCTCCTCGACGATTTGGCGGGCGATTTGCTGGATCAGTGCTTCCCAATCGGGCGGTGGGATGTGCGTCTGGTCTGTGATTTTCTCGCTGTTGATACATTAGCATGAGACTGGAGGTGTAGAAGGAGATGAAGCCATACTTTTGAGCGTGCACTGCTTCGAACATCAACAGCGCTTTCCTCAGGTTTCGCCCGCTATCCTTCGCTATCCTCTGGTTCAGACTCTCGACATCCTTCCATCCCTCCTTCTTGCCCACTCTGCTCAACACACTACAGATTTCGGTCTCTGTAGGCGCTGAAACCCTCACAAGTAGCGTCCTACTCCTGATGGGCGCGATGATGTTGCTCGTAGAGTTGGCGAGCAGGATCAATCGCAAGTTGGGACTGTATTTCTCCATAGTACGTCTCAGCGCCGCCTGCGCATCTCTCGTCAGATGGTCTGCCTCATTGATCACTACGACCTTGAAGCGCTGCTTTGCGCCCAAGTCGACCTGTTGTGTCTGTGCAACTTCCTTGAGCAGGTCTTGGACGACCACTCTGTCGTAGTTTCCGACATCTGAAGGTGTGATTTCGAGGTGGTATACGGAAGCGACGATGTTAAATTCGAGTTTGCGGTTCGTGGTAGTCTGGAAGACGCGCGCGTCGATCTTGATCTTTTCGACACCGGGGCCATAAAGCTCTTTGAGTGTGGCGACTATGCGCGTCTTCTTTCCTGCGCCGGAAGGACCGTATACGAGCAGATGTGGGAAGTCGCCGCTTTGTGCCTACGCAATGTTGCGTTAGTTGCCGCAATCGATGGAGCATCCATGGATGTGAATGTTTCCTTACAAGAGCTCGGAGACGATCTGAAAGCTCGGGGTGGTAACTGAGCGCATCGAGGTTACGCGGTCTATGCTTGTCTACTAGGAGCGCCATTGTTTGTGTACGTTGTGGTATTGTTGGTGGATTTGCGGCTATCGGTGGATGGTGAGTTGGACGCGTCCGGGCGACGCGTAAAGTGGTGGGCTAGCTTGGCAGCCCACACGTCGACGCCTGATCGCGCTCTTCATCACGCTGCATCCTAAAGCAAAGATTTGAGCATCTCCAGCACAGCGACTGGGCTTATTCAAACGAACGAGTCATTTCGCATTCTACCAACTGAATCAAGCCCGTTCACTGGTTGAGCCTCAAATCCATCACCGAGACATCTGTTTCCCAGGAACCGAAGTGGACTATCTGGCCGGCAACGCCTTTGACAGGACATACTTCAACTGACGAGATTTCTGCCACCATCACCCTCTGTTTTTTAGTCCATGTCCTTATTCTCTCTGGTTCGACCAACAATGGTCGACGAGACGACCACCACACGCCCATTCGGTGACCGCCCGACCTCCTTGTCGACGTACTCGAGACATCCAGAGCGTACCGGGGTACAAATTCTGACTGAAGGAGTCGCAAGTTCTCTATCCGTGGGACCAAGATTGTTGTGCAAGCCGATATAAGTGTCGCCGATCCGCATTATACCGATATTGCGGCTGTTATCCAGTGTCACCTGTCCTAGATCTGTGGGTGGAACAAAAACTTCAGCGCCTAAAAATGTTCATCTTTTTCTGGGATTGCTTACCCCGAAGGCCGTATTCTTTGGATATGCGCGTTTGCGATGAACGACCCTTGTGGATGACTCTGGTTATTGAGGCGTCGAGGTGAAGGTATAGGGTGTACAGAGCGAGTGCTGCGATTAAGAGGAGAAGCCAAAACTCGGTTCGAGTCATGTTAGACGCTTTGGTGTTGGTATAGATGGCTGACATGTCGTGCATGTGGAAGAAAGTGGAGTAGGTGTCGATGTTCAGAAATAGTACGATCCGGGTTAACCCAGTCTGGAAGTGAAGGTGAAAGAGCCAGGCCGATCACGTAAGGGGGCAAACAAACATGGCACGCAAACGCGGACATCACCAGTAGAGATGTGCAGGATCATAACCTGCAGACTTGCCTGCATCAACTCAACGACCTCATACTGCTAGACCTCTAGCCATGGGCGCCGAACTCTTGCGTTAAGTGAGACGTCTCAGAAGCTAGATACCTACATTGTAGAACCAGGCGAGAGAAATGGCAAAGTCACATTCAGTTGATTGGGTGGTGAAACAGTCGGGGCACAAGTACCTGTCGCTATCACAGAGTTCCATCACGCCGCGGAATCACCTGGATCATACAGTGCTTATCATCATGTTCTTCCTCCTTCATAATGAATCAGAAACACGTTCCAGTCACTTCATCGCAACTGCACACTTTCAACTGCCAGGTCTCAGGTGCGACTCAGAAGGACATCTACCAAACGGCAGCAAACATCCCGTTAGCTTCACTTCCAACTCCCAAAACGATATGGCGGTCTTCCATGGACCATCCACCACGCCTTCAAGCGAGCTGAACTCCTCAGAATCTGGTAAACTGAAGCGGAGAGTATCGAACGAATCAAGCAACTGGGATGGTGAGTCCTCCGGCACAGAGCAGTCGTTTCGTACAGCATACGCCGATATGCCTCCAAAGCCTAGGCAGACACGCTTCATCGAGCGATTTGAGAGCGTGAAGCAGCTGACGGAGAGTAACCTCGCTGTGTTACAGGCTGGGTATACGGGCGCACCACCACAGCCTACATCGCCTTTCGACGGCGAGTTGCACCTCAGACCGTCTCCACGCGCAACAGCATTTCTCGTAAAACGCAAGCCGCTCCCAGATACAGCGCAAAAGGCACTCATAGAAATGAACGACGGGGCAGATGTAGAGTCACATGCAAAGAGCGCAGACGAAGCTTCCAATCAAAACCACACACTTGGACATCCAAGTCATGGCCGCAGACCATCGTTCCACCGCACGAATACTGTGTTCACGGATTTCTTGCCTTATGACCAGGTGCGAACTTGGCAACAGGTTGATAATGAGGAATATCAGGACCGACGTAGGCATTCTCTCTCAGCTATTGCGCTGGAGGGGATGAAAAAGCTCAATCTAGACCGCGATGCACTATCGGCTCATAGCAAGAAGACTGCGAATCAATTGAAGAAAGTGATTAAACAGCACATACTTGACAAGGAGAAGTCAACTTGGTAGATTTTGGACGTACAACAAGTTGTTGCGCGACGCATGTTAGATTGGGAGTCGTAAAAGTTGTGCTTGGTAGTAAAAATGTTCCTACAACTGCGTCTGCAAACTTGACATTCTATACAAACCTCATCCGCAAAAAAGGTGTTTCGTTCTCAGATTTCGTCCCCTGCGTGCCAGCGAGATCGCATGAGTAAAAAGAACGTCGCCCGACCAGGGACTCGAACCCTGAGCCTTGAGATTAAAAGTCTCACGCGCTAACCAATTGTGCCAGCCGGGCTATGATTTGTTGATGAGCAAATTCCGGGCAAGATAATAATAGTACTTGATGAATTTTCGACGCATCTACAAAGTCGAAGTTCGCCATGTGAAGTTTAACACAGAGAACGTCAACGGGTTCCATGGGGTCACGCTGCGAGCGATTTACCTAATGGTTGGTAGCAGTGGTGGGGTGGGATCCACGCATCATGCGTCATCGATTTCCTCCATCAAAGGAACCATACATGCAGCATAAACAAAGAATGTAGTCATTTGCATGCCCCACAGCT